CTAAGAAGACTCTACCGGTGACGCTGGGTTTGAGAGGACAATATTTTACCTATAAATTATTTGCAATTATTTATTTAGTATAATTTTTCATGCCTTATTAGCCATAAATTAAATAAAAAAAATCGGAGGCAGCTGAGCCAGTAGGCACATCCTAGCGACCTAGCCCTAAGCACTGAACCGTCCATTTCCATGAACAGCAGTACAGATACACTAAACGGTGGATTGAGATCAAATACAGTTACACTAGAGACTGCAAGATAAGGACTGCACATGATTTTAGCCATCTATTTTTTTCCTATGAATGGTTCAGATTTAAAGCTACAGTATCCAAGCTACAGTAAAAAGTGCAGAATTTTTTTAACTGAATAATATCATGAATGATCTGACCGTTGGATTTTCATCGGATGGTCCTAGCGTGACTGCTTAACTTGCAGTCACACTAGGGACTGCAGGTGAACCGAATCCCTTAACGGTGGATACGCTAAACGGTGTATCTACCCACTTGTTTTGAACCGTCGGATCACCAGTCAAGCAGCTGACAGAATCAAAGGGTTTACCATGCATTGGCCCATCCAAGAACAAGAAGAATATTGCTGTAGTATATAAAGCCACATTGCTCAGTATCAAGTGTGCTCGGGTCTAATAAATATACACCCTTGATCAGTTTAAAAAAAACTAATTTCTAGCTACGTACTTATGCTATATCTAGATTTATATAGTTAGAAGTTGGTTTTAGACGGAGGGAGTACTCCTTCATAGCAACCTCACGATCAGTAAAAAAAAGATGAGCTTATACTAGACACAACATACAGAGATTATTTAATTTGCGGCAATATCGATTAGTTGGAAAACAAACTCAAGCGCGTCCTTTATAATCAAATTCTATAAAAATTCTCTGCAATTTCTGTGTGAAATTCAAACATATGTTTCCAAAGAACGGTCGATCCGTCAGGTCTTTGCCTGTGCGTGGATGTACCGGCCGGCGAGGGACAAAATTTCCAGATGGTAAAAAAAAAAAAAGCCATCGAGCAGGAGAGGCATCCAGGACAGTTTGTAGGTAGGGTTGCTTGACAAAGAGGGACATAGCAATGCAGTGCAGGGGATATCACTGTTAGTCAGTCGCGTGTGGTCACCACGGCGCCCAGCAAGCAAATGCAAAGCAAGAGCAGCTAGCTGCTGCTGCTGCTGACCGAGGAATTCAGTACGACTGCTGGTGGGTGTTGCAAGCAACCAAGCAAGCATTCGACGTAACAAACGTCCATGGATTTTGCAAATTAACCAGGAGTAACTTGATTGAGGCTGTTGCCGTGTTTAGTCCCCTTCAAACTTCCAAAAATTTAGTCACATCAAATGTTTGTACACATGCATTGAGCATTAAATGTGGATAAAAAAACTAATTGCACAGTTTGCATGTAAATTGCAAGACGAATCTTTTGAGCCTAATTACGCCATGATTTGACAATGTGGTGCTGCACTAAATATTTATTAATGATGAATTAATTAGGTTTGACAGATTCGTCTCGCAGTTTACAGGCGGAATCTGTAATTTGTTTTGTTATTAGTCTACGTTTAATACTTCAAATGCGTGTTCGTATACTTCAAAATTTTTACACCAAAACAACTAAACACGGCCTGATTTTTGCTATTCCCTTCAGTTCTCTAGTTTAGCTAGGCTCATACTCCATTTTTTTTAATTGAAATATAGGCCCAACGGGACGGGATATGGTAAACGTACTTCGATTTTTTTCCCTCTCTTGTCACGTATTTTTCTCTCGGTTTTTCTGGTGAACATGGTTCAAATTTTCTCTTCTTTTTGGAACAATTTTCCTCTCATTTTTTAGCCTTTTTTTCTCTTTTTTGAATGATTTATCTCTCGGTTTTTTATCCTAGTTTTTTTGGAGCTGCTTTTCTCTATGTTTTTTTAGGGGTTTTATACATGGGACTGAAGTGGGTAGGGAAGGAGGATGACCGTGCTTTTAAAATAGTAGAGATAATTGACGTGATGAACTACGACTGATCACATTAACCGCAAAGTATTTTTAAATCGTTATATTATAATGAATTGTATGATTACGTCTATAGGGTTATGTGATGTACTAATATAACATATCTTCAAATATTTATTTATTTTTGTTAAAATTAAACATGAAAATATATAGTGCCAGTACCAATTATTCGAGAATATGGAGTACTACAGTATCTACAGACGACTGATTGTAGAAAATGAAATAAAACTTTCAGTTTTCTTAATCTAAATATATAGATCGTGTATATTTAGGTCCTATTTAGCATAACTCTGAATACAAATTTTTTTATTGAGGAGTACATTAAAATTCCATCGATTATTTGTAGTTGTGATTGCATCGATAACATTTGGACGGAATATACACTCTATCCCTATTTTTAGATGAAATTAATATAGAAATTCAAACCACTTTAATATAACTTATAAACTCCAAATTAAGTGTTAATTAATTTTTCCCCTTAAAAAATTAGTGTTAATTTACGATCTCGAGCGCTGCCAAACACAGGGCCTGGCCCTATATATGTACACTGTAATAACATCCAAATACAACAAAGAAACAGACGCCGCGACAAAGATGATCACACAAATTCACAATTTTCTTGCAGTTTGTCTCTAGCTTCTATGGCGTGCACGTCATGCATGGACCGATGGATCGATATCGATCGATGCATGGTTGGCGTGCTTGAGCTAGATAGATAGATACTCCAGATAGTAGTGGGCAGGAGGGCGCAGGGGCATATGCAGGTGAGGGATGCAGTTCCAAGCGCAACCATCCAATCTTTCTCCGGCCGGATCAGCTCTGGCCGTGGACGAACGTGCTTGCTAGCTACATGCGTCGTCCATCGGCAATGGCGCCGACGCCGTGTCGCCATGCGCGCAGCGAGCGAGAGAGAGGTGTGACACTTCAGTGGGGGTATATAGGATACGGCCGAAGGCGTGGTGGTTCCCCTCTCCGACGACGATGGCCGCCTGCTGCCGCCTCGAGATTCGCGGGCCGGCCGGCCGGCCTACCTGCCTAGCTAGCTTCTTCCATCGTGCCTTTCTGTTCAAGGTGTGTATATCATGCGTACTCAGTAAACAAATCCCTAAAAGCGGCCAGCTAAAGATTACAGATGGCCCTCCGAATGGATGGGCTCTAGAATCACCGAGACCGAAGAGAGAGTGGAGTCGAAAACCCAGAATGGATGGACGTACTAACCGAATTTAATACAATCGTTTCGGTTTATTTAATTACCTTGGTATTGTCTGTGACTGAAACCATACTAATTAACCAAGACTGAGAAATCCGGTCATCAATTGTAGCTATTTGAATTTAACGCGGTCATTTCGATCATCGACCTCGGTTAACCGAACCGGTGAAATAGCCAAAGTTAGCCCAACCCACCTGCACAATAACAAAACCCTAAGTCACTCTCCCCCTTCACCAACACAACCAACCGCCACCACTCCCACCACACAACCACCTCCGCTGCTGGCCTCGGGCCTCCCCTCACCGTCACCCGCGTCTGCGCCACAGTGAGCTTGCGGTCCAGTGGCGCGTGACGCATTGAGCATGCCATGTGATCTTTTTGACGGTCGTACCTCCTCCGGCCCCTTGCCTCCATTCTTAGTGATGACTGTAGTGGCGCTAACTCCCCAGACATTTCTATTTCTAGGGTGTTATTTTTGTCGGTCTCCTGAAATTGTTTGAACATTTCGATATGACAAAAGACCGACCAATGACCGAAACCGAATTGTTCGGTCTTCATTATTTTCCAATACATTTTGGTCTTCATTTTTAGATAATCGAATTTTCGAAAAGACTTAGAAATTGAACAGAAATTCTCAGTTAACCGAATGACCCACCCTATTTGAGATCTCATCACTATCTTGAAGAGTATTTCTACTCCACTCAAAAAAGGAGCGAAGCCGACAGGTTCGGGCCGCTCCATATATAGATTCACTCTAGACTTCACTCCAAGTGTTAGGTTTAAGATTTTGGAGCTCTACCAAACAGATCATGAGAATTCAATAACTTTTTTGTGTTTCTCCAATTCAGTTTATTTTTGTTCAAAAATCAAAAATCAAAAATTATGTTTCTATTTTTTTTCCTTAAATAAACGAGAACAGGGACCGTGACGATGCATGCGTCAACACGTCACATCCATTCATAAGACGAATAGATAGATACTACTCCTCCAAGAATCAATTCCCTCTCATAATCCACTGCATCTGCATGCATACCCTGCGAAAGAAAGCTACGTAACCTACATACTACACCGGCAGCCCAAAACCCCCCCTCTCTCTCTTCTCTCTCCCTCTTGCTCTGTCTGTCTGCGGCATGCATCCTTGTCACCTCCGTACCAATGGCGCGGCAGCCGGTCCGACCCGTCCCTCTCCTCCCCACCTCGACAACCTCTGCACCTCTCCTCACCACCCCCTCCAATGGCCACTCTGCTGGTTGATAGCCAAATTCTGAAAATACAAATAAACCGAGTTTTCCGGCTTCTGATTTACAGTTTATTATCTGGAATTTGCTCTCTCTGTTTTTAATACTTCCTCCGTTTTACACTATAAGACTTTCTAGCATTATCCACATTCATATATGTGCCTAGATTCATTAACATATATATGAATGTGAGCAATGTTAAAATATCTTATAACCTAAAACGGAGATAGTAGATAACATGCTCCATCTGTTTCACAATGTAAGTCATTCTAGAATTTCCCACATTCATATTGATGTTAATAAATCTAAACATATATATGTTTTAAACACATGTTTAACCATTCGTGTTATTCAAATACACTTAAAGTATGTTGAGTGATAAAACAACTCACAACAAAATAAATTATAAGTGCATAGATTCTTTTTTAATAAAACGAATGATCAAACGTATTATAAAAAATCAACGGCGTCATCTATTAAAAAATGGAAATTGTATAACTATAAAAAAACGGAGATAGTATAACTATAGAACCTATAACTATAGCACCCAATCTAAACTGTTTGAGAAAGCTGTAGCCCACTAGAAGCTTCCCAAAACATACCCCTATATATACCAGTCCCCAACGTCCAATCCTCCATCACCAAGATCGAGCCAGCTAGAGCTAGCTATAGGCCTATAGCTATAGCTTAGAGCATCAGCAATCGATCGATCGATCGAGCCATGGAGGCGCCGCTGCACCAGTCGCCAGTGCCGCTGCTCCCGCCGCCGCCACCGCCGCCGCGCGTCGTCGGCGTGCAGCAGCAGCAGCAGCAGGAGGCGGTGGTGCCGCCGCCGCCGGCGATGGCGGCGGCGGCGGGGGGAGGAGGGAGGGAGCAGTGCCCGCGGTGCGCGTCGAGGGACACCAAGTTCTGCTACTACAACAACTACAACACGGCGCAGCCGCGGCACTTCTGCCGCGCCTGCCGCCGCTACTGGACGCTCGGCGGCTCCCTCCGCAACGTCCCCATCGGCGGCTCCACCCGCAAGCGCCCCCGCCCCTCTCGCCCCGCCCGCGCCGCCGTCGCCGCCGCCATCGCCGCCGCCGCCGCGGCGAGCGCGAGCGGCTCCCAGATTGCCGCCCAGCAGCAGCAGGCGCCTCCTGTGGTGATGAGCCAGCATGAGGCGGCGGCGGCGGCGGCGGCGGCGAGCGGAGGGGGTGGAGGTGATGGACTACTCGTGTCGCTGCTCGGCGCGGCGCCGGTGCTGGAGGGGCGGCTCGGCGGCGGCATCGGCGTCGACCTCCTCGGTGGCGAGCAGCTCGGCTTCGGGGCGATGGCGATGCCGCCGGCGCCGCTGCTGTGGCCGGCGAGGGTCCTGGAGGGCGGCGACGCGTGGAAGTCCGCCGCCGCGGCCGCCGGCGTGTCGTACTCCCCGTTCCCAGCGCTGTGGCAGGAGCTCGCCGCGGCGGCGCCGGTGGAGCTCGCCGGCGGCGGCGGGCTGCTACGCCACGGCGGCGGCGGCGCCCCGCAGCTGATGTGACACACGCATGCATAATGGCGCCGTGTCGTTTGCCATTGTTGGGTACGAGGACTGGATGCATGCGTGATGATGACGTGGCAGGGGGAGGAAGACATGCATGGCAGTGTGTAGGTAGACAGGTGGTACTATGTGCTAGGATTACTGAGAGATTGTCTAGTTAATCTGTTGAGAAATTTAAATCATAATCTATATAATTGGTTAGTATATATTTTACACCCTCAACTATTTTTACCACGCAAATAACCTCCCTGAATCAATCCGGAGTGGTTTTACACCTACGTGGTAGTAGTTAGCAATTTTTTTATTAAAAAAGTCGGTGGGACCCACCTGCCAGATTCTCTCTCCTCTCTATCTCTTTCCCCTCTCTCTATCTCGCCGCGCTGTGCCGGAGAACTCCTGCATGCGCTCGCCCGTCGGCCATCGGTGGAGCTCAGGGGATGCTGCTGAAGCACGCGGCGGCGGCCAGCCCGTCGAGCTCGCCAGCCGGGCCTCCACCTCCTTGTCGGCATAACATCGCAGCAAGTCGCCGCGCGGTAGCGGAAGTACTCCCGCACGACGGAGCTCGGGCGGCGGCGGCAAGCCCGTCAAGCTCGCCGGCCGGGCGTCCTCCTCCTCGTCGGCACAGCAGCACGTTGCCGGCCGAAGCACTCCTGCACGCGCTCGCCTGGCGGCCAACGGTGGAACTCGGGCGAAAGCGGATGCAACGGCGGCGGAGCCGGAGCTCGCGTGCAGGCAGCGACGAGCCCGCTGCCGCTCTCGTGCTTTCTCACACTTTGTCAGCCACGCCCGAAAAATCCTAACAACCTACTTCTAGCTGCCAACAAACACTCAGAAGATTGGATCAAATCAGTACACGGAGGAAGACGAGATTTTGGTGCCGCGTACTGCTGCTGCGACTTTTCTGGTTTGTTATCAACATAAATAGGAAAACTACATGCAGACTCGCCATCTTCTTGTGGGTGTCGTTCCAAGACGATGAGTCCGACCGCCGCGCTCGCCATTTTCTCGCGCAAGTCTGGCGCTGGCTGCCGCTCATCGACCATCACCATCTTCTTGCACAAGTCCGGCGCTGAGGCCCAGCTCGTGAGCTTCCATATTCATCAAGATTTTGTATGGTAATATGGAAGCACGTGCATTGTTCAAGAGTAACCTTTCATCATAAACTCAATTGCATTATTTCTGCAGGGGACAACTAGCTGCTGATTGATCTCATGAATCACTGGTTCAACTTTTATTCGGAACAATAATTACGACACATTCGAATTACAGGATTTTTATGAGATTTTGGAGGAATACTGTTCGTAGTTTTTCTTTTCTTTTCCTCCATTTTCATTTCCTTCGCGTCTAAACGAGGCAATCAAGCACTAACCCGATGCCATCAGGAGGCCAGGCAGCATGATCGTCGTCGTGATGGAGGCCACACGCAGAGGCCGATAATGATGGAGATTGGGGTAACGTTGGGACTAGAGTGGATGTTGTGTCATACAGAGGTTCGCCGACTCTATCTAGCTTTTGGCCAGACAATTCTTGTAATTTTATTTCACGGTTAGTCTGTGAGAGCACCGTGGTTGAGTAATATATTTTCCTTTTCCCCGCAAAAAAATACAGAGGTTGGCAATGGTGGCTGGCTCGATGTTGGAGTCAAAGAGGAGGAGAAGAGTGCGGAGAGGTTGTGGCAGAAGCCATGTGTGCATGGAGGAGGCCAACAACGGAATGAGATCCTCTTGACTTAGGGTGTTTTAAGTCAGAGGCGTACAGTACTCTGATTTGGATATTTTCAGCCGTCTGATCTGCAGTGAGCGAACGGGATCGATTGTTATAGTATGCTACAGTAATATCTAAACAGTAATATCAGCCATTACATTTTACTGTTATTTCACCGTTGCTATAGCACTACGTCAAATACACTGTTTTCTACTGTAGCACGGGACTCAAAATACTGTGCTCCTCTGACGTATGAGGCTAAAGTTAGAGGAGCCAGATCCACCAACAACATGGTCAATGGTGTAGAGGAGTGGCGTAGTGTAATTGATAGCGTGGAGGAGGTTGGGCCACACATGGATGTCAACGGTGACATCAGAGCCACAGCTTGGCTAGTGCTACAATGGGAAAAGAAGAGTCGGGGAAAATAGAGCTGAATGAAATGAACAATACTTCGATCTTAATAAATAGATTACTGTTTATTTGATATCCTATAATCCGAATGCTCTCAACTTTTACATTCTTTGTGTTTGCAATTATCTGTTTTTACCCTTTGATTTGTTTCCTATTTATGTAATTTTCTGTCCTATCATTTGTTTTTTCTACCTCGTAATCCATACAAGCCCTTATTATTTGCATCTCTAATTCGGAAAAACTCAATTAATCCCTTAAGGAGATATCTTCTCATTTTTTATGTCACTTAAAAAGTCATAAAAAAATTTAGTAGAATAGATCAATATGTAATATGTCACTTTACAAACATGGAAATTCAAATTCAACATATACAAGTAAAAACAAAAATAACAAATTTGACTATGAATAGAATGCATAATTCACGGTCAAATTTGTTATTTTTGTTTCGAATTGTATAAGTCAAATTTTAACTCGCATGTTTGTGAAAAGATATATCATATATTGATATATCTTGATAATTTTTTTAAAAAAATTTGTTAACTTTCTGTACGACATATACAAAACGAGAGGATGCCCACTCAAGGGATAAAAATATACTTCCTCTCTACTTTCGCTCAAAATATATTGTGTGTGTTTGGCCTCTGTCGTGTTATAGTATAGGGGCTTGTGTTTTCCACATCAACCCAAATTAAACAGGAGCAAATTGAGTTTTGCACTAGGTAAAACACATCGTCTTTCTTGAGCACATATTTTACTAAACAAAAGTGCAAGTTATATCGATACCCAGTGCAATGTGAAAGTAATGTGCTCAAACTAGTGTAAAACGGAAGACTGATATGTGTTTACCTTGTGCAAAATTTAATCTACTCTAAACAAACAAAACAAAACAATGCCTTTCAAAAGCAAACCATCACGCCACATCTAGAAGTGGCAAATAGTTCATTACTACATTTTATTCCACCATATCACAACTTAAGTTAGATAGGTTTGACTAAATTAAATATCTGTTTAATTCGTGCCACACCTATTGCAAAATTACTTTATCGTCACGTGGATCCCACACGTTATTGGCACGTAAAGTATTTTAATGTTGTTTTTTAGGCTAAAGCATGGCTTCAATTTTATTGGCCACATGTTCAGCATGTTAGTTAATAAATGTATGATAAGCTTTGGCAATAGTTTGAGGTGTATAGTATAGGGTAAAGGACTACAGTCTACAGGTACGAAGTACGCTAGCTAGGTACCGATGGAGATCCAACGGTGGTTCTGATGGTCGGAAACATGTACGAACGGATTGGAGATTTGGAGTACGAAAGTGATTTGAACTACGTACTAGCTAGACACTTCAAATCCATATATACAAGTACGTAAAAACTAGTAGAATTACGAATATGAGCCCTGCAGCTACGGATGTAATTTGAAATTCTCTAATTAATATAAGACCAATTTAACTACAACTCCAGTTCGCTTCAATATTCGAAATGTTTAGTTCGCGAAAAGAAAATTTTTGAGTGTTACATCGAATGTTTTTATCAGATGTCGGAAGGGGTTTTCGGACACGAATGAAAAAACTAATTACAGATTCCATCAGTAAACCGCGAGACGAATCTTTTGAGCCTAATTAATCCATCATTAGTACATGTGTGTTATTGTAGCATTTATGGCTATCATGGACTAATTAGGCTCAAAAGATTCGTCTCGTGATTTCTCATATAACTGTGCAATTAGTTTTTTTAATCTATATTTAGTGCTCCATGTATGTGCTTAAAGATTTAATGTGATGTTTTTGAAAAAAAAAATGGAAACTAAACTAGGCCATTATGGCACGATCGTTCCAGATCTGGTAGTGAGAGCTAGTGAATTCAAAACTCACTTGTCAATTTCTTCCATAAGTTAGTTGGGCCAGTCACCACGCGGGTTAATTAGATATATATAAGATTCGTATATAAGAGATTCCCGTGATGCCATGTTTTATAAATGATCTCACGGGGGAACAAATGATTCGAAAATTGTATAATCCAAAGCTGCGAATTTCAAATTCGAGGGCGAGAAATTCATCTTGAAACGCATCCCGATCGAACGAGTACATCTCCGTGTGACCGTATTGAAGCAAAGATGAAGAATATGGATCATCCTTTTTCGTTTTTGTTTTTGTCTTGAAAGCAAATGGAATCCATCTAGAAAGAAGGGAAAAACGTTGCTACAGTAGAAAGGAATTATTTTTGAACGGCCATACGGTTCATGGGCCAACCCCAGGCAAGCCCAAGCGACAAAATTCAAATCCACGTAGCCGTTGGGCTTCGCACCACTCGCATTTAAAAACCACGTGGGCCATATGAGTTCGGAGACTGTGGGGAGTTGGTGGGACCCACATGGCCAAGTCTAAATTGATTTTTTTTTGTGTGTGCGCTGCTGGCTTCTCTGAATTGTGAGGTAAAATTTCCAGTTGCAGTTAATTGGAAAACAAATCTTTGTTTTGCCTCGTGATGTTCCCTTATTTGCATTAGGTAAAAATACATTCCTCGTACCTTTTTCCGGTTTTGGAAATAATTTATTTCAGAAGAAACGTTTTTCATTTCTGCTCACCAAACATGTTTAAATACAAGTAATATGACCCATTTAATCGTTTATTGATGGTGCTCGGATCGACATTGTACTTTGCCACATCAATGTTAATCGAAAGAGGGCTGCTACCCACGGGATCCCGTGAGAACGGGATGCCCTTCGTATCGCTTGGGGCGACAGCGTAACGCCGCATATATCCTCAAAGTCGCGCACCTCACCCCCACATGCAAGCTTCGAACAAGCTGCGCAGCCACACGACTCTTCCTGACGTGCGTCGGCCGCCACTTCGAGCTGCTCGTCGAGGACGTCGCCCACATCAAGTTTGTCCGTGTTCCCTTCCCTACTGCAATACACTGCCGTCATGTACAACCACACTACGTACCTCGCCGCCGCTGCCGCCGGCCGTCTCGATGACGAAAGATATCAGGCCTAATACTCACATGTACCAAGTATGGTACCTAGGTATCAGGTATCACGGGTACCAGGTATCCGTGATGCCTGGTACCTAGTACCTGGTACCCCGTGATACCTGGTATCTGGTAGCCTGGAGAAGGAGGAGGAGGAGAGAGAGGATAAGGCAGCCGCGTGGTGGAGCATGGAGGCAAGACGATGGTAGCGCGGCACCTGGACCACACCTTCGAGAAATCTTGCGTCGGCGCACCTCCTGCTCGTGGCGGCGGCGCCGCTGGTGGACGTGGTGCGCGCATCGCTCGCCGAGCCGCTCGTGCTCCCCAACCTCGCTCGCCGCCTCCCGCTCTGGCTCCACCGGCAAGGCGTCGTCGGAGCGCGGAGGCGAAGTCGTCGTCCGCCGGCGAGACGTGGAGAAGATGAACAGTTCGTGCGGGGCGTCGTCAGAGCGCGGTGGCGGAGTCGTCGTCGCTGCCGCTGGCCATGTCGGTGGGGAGCTGAGTTGACGAGGCGTGGAAATTATCTGAAGAGAGAGCGACAAACAGATGGGGCTCGGGTGGATGAGCGCTATCCCGTCCCCACGGGATACCGTGGTTTAGTTTTTCTCTAATAGAAATTTGATCATAAATACTTGGTTGCACTATTAATAGGATTTTAGTTAGGTGAAGTTATGTACTTATCGTAGGCCTATGTTTCTTTGAGCATGTATCAGAGGATATATCTGTAGGTGTGTGAGAGTATTTTTCGTACGTCGTGATGTGTATGCATACGCATCTTCTACGCATTAAGAAAAAAAATATTATGCATTCGTTTTTACTTTTCAACCTAAACTTTGTAACGGTGGTTCTAGTTTTAAAACCATAAATGCATTACTTACAAACATAAAACTTATGACTTTGTTTCTCAAATTTTATATATTGAGATTAAAGGCCATATGTATGCACATCAGGGTTTACCTTATCGGGATCGGGATGAAGAAAACTAGACAGAATTTAATTTTAAAAAAATAAATTTTGTTTAAATATTTTTTTAGCTTATTGGTCACTTTCTATCACCACACCCAGGCAGTACAATACGCCTGGTTATCTTTGTAAACTTGTAACCCGTGCACGATGCATAATTTGCTCATTAGGATGTGAAACCATTAGTGCACTCCAATCACAACAAATGGAAAGTTAGAGACACATTTTAGAATGCAACAATTTTACACAATTAGTACCATATAGTTTAATTAACTCCAATAGCTCTATAAGAATATAGTACCATATTTACAAACAAGCCTCCACAGGTTTGAGAGTTTACTGTTACCCCAGGTAAAAACGCCCCTTGCTGTCAAATTTTCAAAAACATACAAATGATTCTCTCACAGAAGCTAGTACAAAATACAAAATGACACTACTTACAAAACACCAATTCTTTAATTTCAGCTCATGCCTCCATTGACACATGGAGTGTGAGTTCCAAATTGCAATCACTTGGGAATAATTTAATTTTAATAATATACTAATACCAAATTCAACACTCACCCCGAATACCATCCAAATTTTTTTGAACCATCCTCGCGGGGGGGCCTCCCCTTCCCGATCCAATCCCAGCCGTCCGTTTCGAATGCCTCCACCCCGATTCAAATCAAATCCCGTTAAGACGCCTCGGCCCCATTCACACCAATCTCCGCCATTACTAGTTTCAGTTCAGTCCTCCCCCCTCCTCCTCCAAGGAGAGAGAGAGAGAGAGAGAGTGAGAGAGAGAGAGAGAGAGAGAGAGTTCTAGAAGATTCTAGAACTACTACCACCGCCGGCGAGTCGGAGCTCGGCGGCAACCGTATCCTAGGTCGGGATCGTCTTGCTCCCCTTCCAGGTGAGTCCAATGCGGCCCCGATCTGCGCCGGATTGGAGGGTTTTTGCCCGGAAGTTTCATCCCCGGGATTTTGAATTTTTTGATGTTTTGACGCGGATCTCTGATGCTGCTGCTGCTGCCGCTGCAGAAGAAGAAGGTTCTAGAAGCGGAAGTGTCACACCATTCGCGGCCTAGCCATCCTCGTCTTCACCGCCGCCGCGACCTCCGCTTCCACCTCCGCCCCGCTCAGGTGAGTCGCCGAGGATGTTGGGTTTGATTTTTTGGGGGGAGATTTTGTTTGCGGGTGAGAGGATTGATTGGTTTTTTGTTTTGTGTAGAATGGTGAGGGATCTCGCCGCGGTGCGCCGCACGCCGGCGAGGGCTTCGACATCCTCCTCCGCCTCGGAGGTCGGTAACGATGAGAACGCGCCGGTGGACGCCTCGGATGCCGCCGTGGTGGAGCCCGAGGCGGCGGCGGCGAGGCCCCCGCTGCTCGCCATCCAGCCGCCGCAGTCGGGGCTGAAGCGGAAGCCGGAGTCCCCGGCGCCGACGCCGTCGAAGCTCCCGTTCCGGACGCCGGAGAAGGCGGCGGCGCGGAGCCGGTTCGGGTGGGTCCCGCCGCGGGGAGAAGAGCAGCCGCCTCCGCGCGTCGGCGGGACCCCGTACAGCGCGGTGAGTACTCCCGGGAGGCATCGGGGGAAGTCCTCCGCGGCGGCGGCATCGGAGGGTGGTGGTGGGTCGACGCAGAGCACGCCGACGAAGAGCGTGACGAAGCCCGCGTACAGCATTGGGATGAGCGCGTCGAGGCCGCCGATGAGCAGTGGGCAGCGGGGGGCCGGGTTGGGGTTGGGGTTCTCGATGGCGGCGAGGGGGACGCCCATGTCCTTTGCTCCGGTGACTGTGGTGAATACCGCAGAGGTGCCGCATTTCGAGCTCCGGGAGGATCCCTCGTTCTGGATGGAGAACAATGTGCAGGTGCGTATTTTGATTTACTGCTTATTATGCAGCTCTCTTCTGAAATCATTACAAGTGATTGTTCGGGAATGGTTTGCTCTTTCCTTAATATCTACCATCAATATATCAATTGAGGTGAAAATACGTTTTTTCTTTCCTAAATTTTCCTTGATCAGCAATGATTATGACAAGGAATTGCCCTATGTTATTGATTATGTATGTCGATTAATCATGTGTTGTTGGAATTTATCTTTCACGTCTTTCATTTCAATTTTATAAGTACCGAGCTTTGAATTTTGAATTGACAAATATGTCAGAGAAATAACATCCCCATTCACATTCTTGACATTTATGCTTTATTGTCCAGGTTGTTATCCGTGTGCGCCCTCTAAATAACACTGAAAGAAACCTCCATAACTACAATCGATGTTTGAAACAAGAGAGTGCACAGAGCATCACATGGATTGGGCAGCCAGAAAGTCGTTTTACATTCGATCATGTTGCTTGTGAAGCAGTGAATCAGGTCAGCAAAAGAACAGTTCGAATTTATGATCTGATTCTAATTCTTGGATTGCTATTGACTGCTGAATTTACATTTTGCAGGAAGTGCTTTTCCGTGTTGCTGGTTTACCGATGGTTGAGAACTGCATGGCTGGGTACAATAGTTGTATCTTTGCTTATGGGCAGGTATTTGTTATCAACTTCACATCTGCTCATTTGTTGATAGTGAAGTCATTTTTTTCCTCTCAATTTAATTGCCTGCAGACTGGAAGTGGAAAGACATACACAATGCTTGGCGAGATCAGTGAACTGGAAGTGAGGCCTAGTCAAGATCGTGGGATGACCCCTCGCATTTTTGAGTTCTTGTTTGCGAGAATCAGAGCGGTAAAGAACATAACTATGTCCCTACAATTCATGGTTCTGCAGATACATTACTTGTTAGTTTTTGCGTATTAGACAATCAAGTATACCATAATCCCACAATTCTCAAATCTTTTGTATATGCTATCCAACTTGCAGGAAGAAGAGAGCAGGAGGGATGAGAAGCTAAAGTACAATTGCAAGTGTTCTTTCCTGGAGATTTACAATGAACAAATCACAGACCTTCTTGATCCTTCATCCACAAATCTTCCAGTATGATTTAATAATGCTACTTCAAGTGAAATGTCTTCTCAGTGCAATACCTTTTTTGTTTTAAATATGCCTGATTGCCTGAGCAACTATCATGCAGCTGCGAGAAGATATACGGAACGGTGTTTACGTTGAAAATCTGACTGAACTAGAAGTTGGTTGTGTCAGTGACATCATAAAACTTTTGATGCAGGTAAACACATCTGTTCTAGGTTCTTTTGTGTTGCAAATATCTTCTGACATACTGTCATAGTGTTTTAACCAATTGGGCTTGCTGAAAACCTATTTCAGGGTTCTGCGAACAGGAAAGTGGCAGCTACAAATATGAACCGTGAGAGTAGTCGGTCCCACAGTGTTTTCACATGCATCATTGAGAGTCGGTGGGAGAAAGATTCGGCATCTAACTTACGATTTGCAAGGCTGAATCTAGTTGACCTTGCTGGGTCAGAAAGGTAAACAGACAGTCTTCATTTCTCTCTCAGTACATTATGCTTAAATGAAATCTCAATCCTTGAGACATCCACCTGAACACAGACAGAGGACATCTGGTGCTGCAGGTGAGCGGCTGAAAGAAGCTGCTAATATTAACAAATCATTATCAACACTAGGGTACGTGCTTAACACTCCTTACTTTTAGACGGTGATATTCTTTTATATGACGAGACTTTACCGTAGTATTGCTCAATCATGAATGCTTGTGAATTACAGCCTTGTTATAATGAGTTTAGTTGATCAAGCACATGGGAAACAAAGGCATGTTCCATATAGGGACTCAAGATTGACATTTCTCCTTCAGGTAGCAACCCTGAAATATAATATTATTGAGTTCTTTTCCTTTGATGTGTTTGTATTTATTGATGTCCTCTTTTACCCTCAGGATTCTCTTGGTGGGAACTCAAAAACAATGATTATTGCAAATGTCAGCCCTTCAGTGTGGTAGTGATTTTCTGGACCTTTATTTGAGCAAAGTGCAAATCTTGTTAATATTTTAATATCTCCTTGCTTTGTGGTTATTCAGTTCCGCTAGCGAAACACTCAGCACCCTCAAGTTTGCCCAGCGTGCTAGGCTCATTCAGAACAATGTAATATTTTCTTCGTAAGTCTGGTTTCTTCTTTCCAAACTATCTTAGGTTACTAATACATAACTTGCTTTGTCAAATGTGAAGGCGGTTGTGAATGAAGATGCTTCAGGAGATGTACTGGCTTTGCAGCATCAAATACGCCTTCTAAAGGTAATGTCTGGATAACTTTAGTCGTACTTTATGTTCTATATAACATCATCCTAACCTACAGTAAGTTCCTTGTATCAGGAAGAGCTCGCTGTCCTCAAGCGCCAACGTGTCCCTAGATCTTTGTCATTCACTTCTGACATTTTTGAAAGGTCTGGAGTAGATGTTGATGATGGAACTGAAAGCATGAATATGGATGAGGAGAATGATAATGATGCCCATGACAGAAGATCCCTGCAAGATTTAAGGATTTCAAATAAGCAAGTATGCAACCTTCTTTGTGATTTGTTATGTTTATATCCATAACTTCTAGTTCTACATGTTCTTTGCTTGCCAAGTTACCTATTTAGTTTTTTGAACTGTTTCATCATTGCTACTACCTCCGTTTTAGGTTATAAGACTTTTCAGCATTGCCTACATTCATATAGATGTTAATGAATCTAGGCACATATATATGTCTAGATTCATTAACATATATATTATATGTCTAGATTCATTAACATATATATGAATGTGGGCAATGTTAGAAAGTCTTATAATATGAAACGGAGGAAGTATTTTCCAAACACAACAATTTTTATTCTTAAACGTGAAGACTGCTATATCTAGAGAGGGGAAATTGCTATTCATGTATGGTCTCCTTTACACTATAGTTTTACAGTTTATTCCATCAACATGAAATTTATATCTTCAACTGCATGGCCTTTTTTTTTTACTGTTTTTAGATCTCAGGGAAGGTTGTTGTCTTATTAGAAGTTCATGGATTAGACTAAATGGTTCTTTCTCACTGTTTCTCTGCTGTGTGCTCAATTGCACAAGAACCCCTTCACAGATAGTATATCTGCATATGATTTTGCAGTTGAGGTTGCTGGAAGAAACACTAGCTGGAGCATTCCGGAGAGAATCAGTTGCAGAAGCCACTGTAAAGCAACTTGAAGCTGAAATTGAGCAGTTGAACCGAATGGTAAATTTCTGGTGGCAAGAAACAACTTTTGTGATTTTTTTAGAGGGCATCATCAATGGTCTTTTGGTATGTGTTCTCAGGTTTATGAGAGAGAGAATGATACAAGGAGTGCTAAGATGACACTTAAGTTTCGAGAAGATAAGATTCACCAGATGGAGGCTCTTGTTCGTGACAAACTGCCAGCTGAATCATATCTACTTGAAGAAAACAATACATTATTGAAAGAGATTGATTTGCTTCGTGCAAAAATCGACAAAAATCCAGAAGTGACCCGTTTTGCCCTAGAAAATATTCGTCTCTCAAACAAACTCAAGAGGTATATAAATAGTATACATCAACATGCACAATGTGTTACACTGTGCTAAAATTAATTTGTTTTTATAGTTACAACCAATTCTGTAATGAAGGGGAGAGGGAGCATTTGCTGAATGAAGTTTCCATCCTTCGGAATCAGGTTTATATTAACTTCCATTTTGTAATTCTAAAAAGTGCAGTCTACCTGTTTCCTTTTAAGCATCGTTCCTTGTGTTAATAGGTCTTGCAAATACTTGAAAGGAGGGCAGAAGCTGAGCAACCAAATAATTTCCCAACCAATTTTGAGGTTTATTTCCTTCTATATATTTCCATTGTTTATTTTCCTTATGAATTTGCTCATTATTTGCTACATTTTCAGCATAAACAGCATTGCTCAAGTTTAGCAACTAACGCTGAAACTTTACATGTGGTTATATTGATGAAATAACAGCCAATCATGCCATGTCAGTTGCTGTGAACTGATCTCTTTTTCTCTGTCTGTCTCCAGTTGAAACGGACCTCTCAAGAGTTGGAAACCTGTAGAGGCGAGCTGCAAGCTTGCCTAGAAGCGAATAAAAAATTAGCAAGGTAATTTCATACTTACATAAAAAAACATTGGCAAGTTCTTTTTTCTTTTTTCAATTTGCTCTGTTATTGAAGCAATTACATCACTTTACAGGGAAATAGCTGATCTACAGAATGAATTAAGTAATATACATAGCTCAAATAGAGAGGGCCATCCTAATGTGGTTGAGGTATGCGCATTCTACTGAACTGATCTATGCTCTTATCTTCTACAATCTATACCAATCAGATATGGCCACTTGTTGTGGAGGTGGTGAAGACAAGAAGCTGACTAAATGTGTTTCATTTTGTGGTCAGAAATTTTCATCAGCTTTGAACCAGTATGATTCTCATGCACCTGAAAAGAAGGATCAGTGTTTTCAAGAGGGTTTCATGATAAACACGGATGACATATTAAACCTGCAGCTGGAGTTGGACATAATTAAAACAATACTGGCTGAAGAGAGGACAACCCGTGCAGAAGTTGAGAAACGAATTACTTGTTTAGATGATGAGCTAAAAGCAGCAAATATTCATATTCTCCAAACTTGTAGGCAGAGTGAAACCATGCAACGTGAATTGAGTGATGCAAGATCTGTTATTGAAGCTCTTGAGTCTCAGCAGATTATGTTGATAAATGAACTAGATGAGCTCAAGGAGAGCAATCAGCAAAGCTTAGAGCATCTAAAGAAGAGGGATTTGGAAATATCAAGGTTAAACAATGAGCTTGATGTGCACCGTAGGCAAGAATTCTTAGCTATGGAAGAGCCGAAAGTGCAACTTCTGAAGTGTTTTGAGAATGATGATTCACCTTTGCAGACAAAACTGAAAAGAATGCAAGCTTCACTTGAGAAAGCACGCAAATTAAATACAAGGTACCAAAGAGATCAGGCATCTCACAGTTCTGCTCAGCAAGAAATGGATGAAGTCAGTAGACAGGTTGAGGTTGAAACGGCTGAGGTTATTATGTGCTTACAGGAAGAGCTCATATCACTCCAACAGCAATTAGATGCCAGTAGCAAAAACGAATTATTAGCCAACCAAAGAATAGATGAGGCTCGACTGGAAAGAGAACAGTTGAATGATAGGCTGCTTGAAGTGATGAAAGAGAATGAATGTTTTTCTGCGCTAATTGAGGAGAAAGACAAGAAAATTGGGATGTTGACCAATGACTGGGACAAATTAGCTTCTGACATAGGAAACTTCCTTTTGGATGGAAATGCAGCTCTTGACGAAGCTTCTGACCAGGTTGCCTTTATTTCTGAGTCTATTTCCCAAAGGAAATGGATTGAGGATCAAGTCCAGAAGATGTGTCGAGGAATATCCCAAAGAGATGAGTTACTCAAAGAGCTTCAAAGTAGGTTGAAAGAGGCAGATGACATAAGATGTGATTTGGACTTGAAGTTAAGGTCCTTAAGAGGAGCAATGCAGGCTATAAATGACACACATCAACAAGAGAAGAATGATCAAGAAAATGCTATGTCTGTTTTAAGATCACAAGAATCTAATGAAAGATATGTGAATCAGCAGCAACTTCAAGAGCTTCAGAGGATACAACTGTTGTTGGATGAGTCCATTGAATCTTTTGTGCAGAAGGAGGTTATAGAACAAAGTTATATTTCTCTGCAAAGGGCGATGGAGGAAGTGATTCATCATCTGGAGTCACAATTAGACCAGTCAAAGAGAGATTTGACTCAATTATTGAGTGAGACCCAGGATAAGGAGCAGGCCTTTGAGAGGCTGAAAAATGAAGAAAACGGTGTTCTGTTAACAGTGCTGTCAGATGTTCTAAAGGCAAAGGGTGTTATACATGAGTTTGAAACTGGATTCAATGCAATACAGTCAAGCTTTTCTGTGGATCCTGAAGAGGTCGTTTGCCAAAATTCAGACTTGAACTTGGAGGATCGGGTAAGCTAATGCTCTTGTTATTTGGTATCAAGGTGAACCGTACAATCCACTCTTTATGTCAGTAAGTTCCTCACATTAATCAATCTGCATCCGTTAAGAGTGGCAGCCTTTACACACTCATGGCATGACCATAATTTAACTGCATGTTTGTAGGTTGGCTGTGATCCCACTGGAGCCTTCGAAGCTGGGGAGAAGCACAATGGTGATGTCCTTTGCAAACTTAGTAAGGAAATGGAGTGTGTAGTTTACACAATGCAAATGCTGCAATCTCAAATGGTCAAACTTCTTCAAGAAAAAGAAAACGCGAAAGAATATCATTTCCAAAGTCAAAGAACTATTAAAGATGTAAGTGCCAAGGTCCTTCAACTGAAATCAGAGATAATTGACAAGGAAAAGGGCTATGAAGCTAGACTAAAAGAGTTGGAGATAAAGATGCAAGAAAAGGAGAAAGACACTGCAGAATCATTTATTTCATGGAATAAAGAAAGAGAGGTAATGTTTCATGGTCATAACACTTCCATAAGTTTCTGCCATCATAGATTTGGCCATGTTTTCTGAACAACAGGTTATCTGTTTCTCATCCTACTGTGAAAGGATTTTATTAGAAAATATATATAGTTCTCACACTTATTTCCTGCTTGTAGTTGTAGGGATGTGATTATAATGTGCAAGAAATGATTAGCTTGTATTAGAATAATTTATGGTGCATTATATAATTTATAGTAGTATTATTCTTGTTTTCTTTCATCACATGGTGCTGTTGTAATGGTACTAAAATACCAGCATTGCTAATCCATGCCTTATCTATCTTTACAAAAGTGGCTTATATTTTGGACCAAAATACAACACAGTTTTCCAACATTGCAATCAGCATATCCATATTACCATGCATTTCAGCATTGCTTAATGCTTAGTTTCAATAGATTTTTTATCCAATGTTGGAAGTGGATTATATTAATGTGGATCTGATTGTCATTGACATTATGCGTTATGCTTTTGACTTGTAAGCCATCGTGGGGGCAAATTAATTTCATTGATTGTGCATATACAAGCAGTAAACAGTTTGACATCTTTATGTTGTTGATTGGTTGATCTTGATTTACCACCTAATTCATGATGATTAGCTACAAACTCTGGATGCTAGAATTATAACATCATTAATCTTTCAGGCACTTGAACTTGAGGTTTCAGAGGCAAAAAGTCTTGCGATTCAAAAATCATTCGAGGCTTCTACTCTTATATCCAAGTTTGAAGAGGCACAGGCAACTATAAGTGATGCTGACACTACTGTCAATGCACTAGTTGAAGCAAATGAAAAAGCAAAACTTCAAATACAAAATTTCAAAGAAAATGAAGCTTTGTTCCTTTCTGAAAAGGAGAGATTACTAACTGAGATAAGTAGTTTGAAGATGCTGCTGGACGTGAAAGACCAAACTTATGAGGTAATGGAAAAGAAATTTGCGGCAAGCCTGCTTGAAGCAAATGACCTAGCACTTGAACTTGAAGATGGCATTAGACATTTGCAGAATTTGTTATTGGAGAAGCTTGAGTTCGTTTCTTCTGATGTTGAATGGATGAAATCAAAGCTTCAGCAGTTTGCCGAGTTGGCAAGGACTTGGTTAGAGGAGAACTGGTTAGAGATAATTGGAAAGGACTGTGCTGTTTCTGTTTTGCATCTCTGTCACATGGGGATTTTGTTGGAGAGAATTACTGGGCTTAATGCAGAAAATGGTTTCCTTCAACGTGGGTTGTGCGAATCCAATTCTTTGATATCCAAGCTGCGTGAGCACAATGACAGAGCAAAGAATGAACTGGAAATGTGTAGTGTTCTCAAAGGGAAACTGCTACTTGACATTAATCATAATTTCAGTCGCATTGCAAAGAAGGAACAGGAAGCAACTGAACTGAACTCAAGATTAGATGCTTTTGAGAAGAAGATTCTGCACTTACAAGCTCAAGAGGAAGCAATGTTGGCACGGTCAAATTCCATGTATAATGAACTCTCCATATTGGTGGAAGAGATTGATGCTACCAACAAGAGTGCATTGGCAACTGAATCCAAGGAAAAGGAAGAGCTACGCCACCAATTAGATGAAGCTTTGCTTTGCAATGCTATGTTAAAAGACATAATTCAAGAAGACGTGGATCTGCCTCAAGTGAATAATTATATGAAAGGGTGCAGTGAATTTGAGTTGTGCAATCGCCTTGCAGATTATCACAATGAATTGGTTACTACCAACATAATTGCAAAGGATATCGAGTCTTTTGTTCTTTCTTCAGAATTAGTGCAGCAAAAAGCACAGCTGCAAAAACAAGAACTCATGTTTATTGATGCCCTTGATGGATTGACAACAGAAGCAACTTTGTCGAGAGTTGACAAGGATTTGGGTAGTGCTGTAATTTTTTCTTTGCTTGATGATAGCAATAAGATAATGATTGATTTTGATAACCTTAAGCAGAACAAGGACGAGCTAATGGAAAATTTACATGTTCTGAGCGAGGAAAACCTAAACCTTAGATCTGTAGTTGGTTCTTTGGAATCAAGTATCGAGTCGTTGCAAACAGAACTTGATGGAAAAACGAAAGCTCTGATGGAGTTGCAATATTCCCATACAACCATACTTGAAGAGTTCAAGTTGAAATCCAAGGCCACTGAACTTGGTGTCTCAAGGGAAAATGATCTGAGGTCAGAAAACAATTTATTGAAACATGAATATCTAGATATTGTGCGCAAAGAGCAGATGATGGCTGAATTGGTTGCTAATCTTGATTCTGAGAAGTTGTTTGTCACCATTCAAGGTCGTTTGGAACAAGTTGCTGATCAAGTACAGATGTACACTAGCGACCAATTGAACATGGTGACAAAGGTCTCCAATGAGATAGACTTCATCCAGATGTCCATCGAAGGGTTGATTACCCACAATGGTTTCCTACAGTCTGAATTAATTCGCAAAGATGAATTGGCAAAGGGCTTGTCCTTTGATCTCAGCTTGCTACAGGAGTCAGCATCTGTTGCAAAAGACCAAGCAGATGAACTTATCCAGTTAACTGAAGCAATAGAGTCATTAGAACCGGAGCTTGATTCTAAATCAAATGAACTTGTTGATGCTGTTTCTGGAAGACAATTACTAGAAGCTCAGATCTTGAAGAGTAATCAAAAGGTTTCTGCCTTAGAGGAGCAGCTGGCAAGTAAGATAAATGAATTGAAGGAAGTTTCTGTGGAAAAAGATGAACTGACGTCTAAGCTGAACCATATTGAAGGGATCAGTTACACTATGGAGGATGAGTTGGCTGATAAAAGTAAAGCTATTGAAAGGCTGGAAGAAGAGCTGATTGAGTTGAGAAGTTTACTTGATGCCAGGACCTGCTTCCTTCAAAATTTGCAGAATGACTTTTCTAAGCTTTTGGATGAAAAGAAATACTGTGAAACTCAGGTTCTTATCTTGAATGAGAAGCTGGAGATGGCTCAGGCATTGGCAGAAGAAAGTGAAGCAATTGCTACAGAAGCTAAACAGGTGACGAACTGCTGATGGTCTACATGATAGTTGTTCCTTCATTTATGATTTCTTATGATGTTTTTCCTGTATAATGTTTCTATCCTTTACAGATGGCGGAGGAAAGGAAGACGCATGCTGAAGAGAAGGATGAAGAAGTCAAGCTATTGGAGAGGTCCATTGAGGAGCTTGAGACTACTGTTTGTGCTTTGGAAAACAAGGTGTGTTGGTGCTTCTTTTTCTATTTGAGTGTGAGTTTATTATTTTTTTCTGTAACATTACTTTCTCAACAATTTTATTGGTTATTTCCCTTAAGGTGGACATCATTAAGGAAGAAGCAGAGCGTCAAAGAATGCACAGAGAAGAAATAGAACTAGAGCTGCAGAAAGTCAGGCAACAAATGCTAGCTGTTCCTTCCTCAGGGCAAGCAACGAGCTCCCTAGAAGGTGGAATGGGTGATTTTACTGACTCATCCAGGTTTGCATGGTTATGAATTTTGATACCAGTTACTGTATTCATAACTGTAGGTGTGATACTCAATCAAGCACTTTGATTTTTTGTCTTACAGGCACTCCAGAGAGATAAAGAATGAGCTACTGGCTGCCCAGGAGAATATAAGAATACTTCAAAAGGATGTTGCTGAGAAGGAAACAGAGGTAAAACATCTATGTTTTAACCATTTGACACCTAATATGCAAGTGCTCGCATTGTTCTGAGTATTATCCATAGAGCGTCCAAACATTGTTCTTTAAAGTATACTTGTCTTTTCTTTATAGATTGCTCAGTGCAAGGCACACATATCAGAGCTAAACATACATGCTGAGGCAGCAGCCCGAGAATATAAGCAGAAAGTAAGCAGTTTTTTTAAGAATTGAAACTTGATAGTTTTAAATGATACTAATGAAGTATGATCAGCCTTAAAAAGAAAAAAAAACTAATGAAGTATGATCTGACTAGTTCATGGAGCTAGAAGCCATGGCACAACAGGTTAAGAGTGACAATACATCTGCAAATGCTTGTTCCACAAGACCAGAGAAGATCAGTTTGAAACCTCGCGGTTCAGGCTCTCCATTTAAGTGCATTGGACTGGGATTTGTACAACAAATGAATTCTGAGAAAGATGAAGAGCTTAGTGCTGCAAAGCAACGCATTATGGAACTTGAGGGCATAGCAGCTAGTCGGCAAAGGGAGGTGCGATTTTATAGACTTAAATCATTCTTGTTTCCATTATTTCTAGCCTTATTATTAACCTATCCTTTCCCCTCTGTTGAAGATATTCATGTTGAATGCGAGATTAGCTACAACAGAGAGTATGACACATGATGTGATTCGTGATATGTTAGGTGTTAAGATGAACATGGCGACTTGGGCGGTAGGAAAGAAAATTCCCTTATTTCACATGCTTCCAATTTTATTTTTAGATATCTGTTATTTCTAAACTATCTTATATATGCCCACTAATTGATTGCAGGCACTGGTTGACAACCAGCAACAAATGGACACACAAGAGTCAGCTGTTACCCAAGCTCATGAATCTAAAGAGGTAACTTCTCCATCTAAGCAACAGCTCAACATATCGTTCTTGCATCTATTTGATACATAACTGTTCAGCAGTCCGATGAGTTGATGAAGCTGAGGAGCCAGCTTGATGAATTAATTGAAGAGAGACAGAGGTATGTATACTTTCCCATCTACAGCCACCTAAAAATAACTATATATTAAAGTGATTGATGGACTCAATTTTATTTTGTTCTTTTTTTGGATACAGTTGGCTTGATGAAATAAACCAGCGACAATCTGAACTTGGAGCAGCTCGCATTACTATAGAAAAATTAAGACAAAAGGAACACTTTATGGTAGCTGAAATTGAGCTGCTGAAGGTATGCCATGTTTATTTACCCCTTTTGGCAGTTAATTTAAGTCCTTTTCTGTATTAATTGATTGCCATACTGTAGGCTGAGAATGCGAATGGCAAAGCCATCATCTTTAATCTTGAAGATGAAGTGAAAAAGCTTACGAGACAACAGAATCTTCAACTGCGAATTAATCATCACGTGAAAACAAAGGCATGCATCATTCTTCAAACTTTCTCAGTGTTTCTGAACTTATGCTTTCCTGTCTGACCCTCTTTCATGTATTTTGCCCAACATAATAGGAAGAGAATAACTTACTTAAAAAGCAGAATGAAGAGCTAAGTGCAAAGCTGCAGAAGCTAGGAGCAGTTGTTGCCCGTACGAAGGAAGAGCTTGCTCGCTACAGGGTTTCAGATGGGAAGGACCCATATGAGCAGATGGAGGAGGAAGAGCTATTAAGAAATAGATTAGAAGTGCGTCTACCGTTTCTCGATTTTCACAAAGAAATATGCCAGGTTCAGAGGCACTAATATTTTGTCTGCATGTCAACAGGAAAGCGAGCAGGATAGAAGCAAGCTTGCAGAAAACCTGTCGAGCCTGTGTGCCACCGTTCTGAAGGTATGTTCATGTTTACTCTGAAGCAACCCTTTTTGTGGTCGATGCAAAGTTTGCGAGCTTACATGAGGAAACTTTGATCCTACATTCCTTCTGACAGATCGCTGGAGTTAGAAACCATGAGTCTGATGCGAGTCTTTTGAAAGCATTGGAAGCCTTAAATCAGATCCAACTCCGTATTGCTTCAATGGAGGCTGGGGTTGAGGATCTTAAACTGAAGGTCAGAACAAACGAATACCATTCATTTCACTAATTAGTCTTACTCTTTACTGATGCTTAAGTTTTGCAACCCGTGCAGTGCAAACTACTGCATGAAAAGGCCCGTTTATCGGAGCTTCGGAGCGAGTCATCTTCTCTTAGCTCAGGTCGCTCCAGATCACCGAGTGTGTGCAGATCACCAAGCATCTCGTCATTCCGATGACGCAGCTGACTCAAATAGAAGCGAAGCAAGTGTTGTACTGTACATAATATTGGTTGCTACATCGTTTTGTTACTCGTTAGTTACCAGCTAACCACCTACCGACCTGTGCCCCAAAGCATCTCGTGCAGTACAGTTTTGCTGCGAGTAGAGTAGGGGCATTAACCATGCATTGCTGATGTTGCATCTGCTGGCCTAGTTAATTGAATCATGTATACACATTGAAATCCAATGCAATTATTCTTTTACTTGAAATAGCCGCTGATGATCTTGCTATCTTGAAAGATGCAAGTGATCAATCGGCTCTCCTCTCTCAGTCGTGATTCGCCCCCTTTAATCAAACATATGTAAGAGACGAAAGTGCAAATTGTGAGAACGATGATTGACCTTTGCAGATAAAACTGAAAAGAATGCAATCGTCACTTGAGAAGGCACGCGACTTAAATACAAGGCATCAGAGAAATGGATGAAATCCGTAACCAGCTGGGGCGATTATGTGCTTACAAAAAGGAATAGCTGATCAATCAAAGACTAGACGATGTTCAACTGGAAAGCAAACAGTTGAATGATTATGATAGCCTTCCTGATCAAAGCAAACAGTTGAACTGAGATCTAAGCGGAGCCATATTAAAACCAAAACATAAAATTAAAACCGACTCAAACACGGATGACGGACGAAGGAAACATCTTTAATTTTTATAATAGTAGAGCTTCGTTGTTTTGATGTGGGACGGAGAGAGAGTAGCAAGCGCCACTTGCCAAGTGGAGTAGGCCAGGGCACCCGGCATAGCCGTGTTTAGTTGTTTTGGCAAAAAAAAAATTGACGTATACGGACACACATTTGAAGTATTAAACGTTGACTCATAACAAAATAAATTACAGATTCCGCATGTAAATTGCGAGACGAATCTATTAATCCTAATTAATCCATCATTAGAAAATATTTACTGTAGCACCACATTGTCAAGTCATGGCATAATTAGGCTCAAAAGATTCGTGTCGCAATTTAGATGCAAACTGTGCAATTGAGTTTTTTTTCGTCCACGTTTAATGTTCCATACATGTGTCCAAACATTTGATGTGACGGAAAAGTTGAAAGTTTAAAGGGAACTAAACACAGTCATAATTGGAAGTTTGAAGAAATTGAAACGATGTAACGAAAAAGTTGAAAATTTATGTGTGTAGAAAAGTTCAATGTGACGAAAAAGTTAAAAATTTAAAGAAAAAAAAGTTAGAAATCTAAACAGGGCCATAGTCTGGCAGCCCGACTGCCGGACGAGCCCCAGGCCCAGGCCCCAGCCATGCGCGGACGCGCCGTCGCTAGCGTGTGCGGCGCACGCTACACGGTCGCCTGGTAGTGCTGACTCACGTCGCATCGCACGGGCGCCGTTGCTGCTGCTACGCCGAACCAGAACCACAGCGCGCGTCGGACCACGCGTCGACGCTACGCGCAGGCCAGATCAGGCCGACCGCACGAGCCGTGCGCCACTGCTCGGCGTAGACTGTCTTGTACATCACCACACATGGGCCAGCATCCTCCTTAGCCCATAACAAACAGGCCATGGAACCAAATGGCCCAATACATGTCTGCCGGTGAAGGAATAAGTACACTTTTGGTCTCTCAATTTGTCGCCCAGTCTAATTTTCGTCCTCAGCACACAGAACTGGATACAACGCATCCCCCAACTTACAAAACCATGCAGACGAGGTTCCTTGGTAGTATTATACCCGGTTTTAGATGACGTGCTGCCTACGTGGCTGGTTTAATTAGGTCCTTGTCCCACGTGATATTGATGCGATGCTTACGTGGTAATTAGATTCTGGAAAAATAATAAAGAAATGTGCGACCTACATGTCAATTACACACAAAATAATAAAAAAGGTGGGGCCGTGTGGTCCCACTTGTCATCCTCCCTCCTTATTCTCTCTATCCTCCTCTCTCTCCCCTACAATCACCTTTTGTTTAATAATCACATGTCTTTGTACTATTTTCTTAATTCTTATCTTAGGTTGTGTTTAGTTCTACGGCAAAATTAGAAGTTTGACTAAAATTGAAAGTTTGAAGAAAAAAGTTGTAAATTTATGTGTATAAGTAAAGTTTCGATGTGATGGAAAAGTTGGAAGTTAGAAAAGAAAGTTGAGAACTAAACCATGCCTTACTTAAAAAAAAAAAGGTAGAGTCTCTTATATTCACGGACGGGAATAGTTTATGTTGAATTTCTTACTTTTATTATTTTTAGTAAGTATATAAAATAAGGGAACTGCTAACTTGTAGTTGTTGGTGGAGTATAATATACACCAACTTACGGGATGTGTAGTGCTATTAGTACTAGTATAGAGGAAGAGTTAGGTACAGATTAGGCAGGAGCAAATCCGATCCGATTGGAAAGAGGGAAGCAAATTACAGAGATTAGGCACCACAAAATTGGTGGATTGAAGGCACCGTATATATACCGAAGGTATTTAACCATTTGCCATATTTAAACGTGCCAATTAATTTTTTGCCAGTGGATCCATATGTTATAGACACATGTGAACCCACATGTCATTGAGATAGAGGTGGCAAAAAAAAATTATTTGCCAAATCTAAAAGTGGCAAATAGTTAAAAGCCACCGAAACTGAGACAGCTACTTTACTCATATCCCTCCTTCTCCCTTCTTCCTCCTCATCCTGTCGCCGCCGTCCCCTGGAGGGCGGCAAACCCTAGATCTCGCCGTGGCGAGGCGACATGGAAGCGCCGTCGGCAAAACCTAGATCTCGCCGTGCCACGCATGGATATATGGTCCTGGACCGCATAGTCCGTTGCTGGAGCGGAGTTGGAGGGGACGACGACCCCACGGCGTCGGAGATCGCCTACACCTGCAGCGGCCACCCCATCCGCGTCTCCCTCCGCGTCGCCGACCCCCCCGCCGTCTCCCGCCTCTACGTCCACCGCCCCGGCTGGTCGCGCGTCTACGACCTGGGCGACGCCGAGGTCATCGCCGCCCACCGCGGCTCCATCCTCCTCTCGGCGCGCGTCCCTTTCGCCGACCTCGACACCATCGCGCCGGGCCAATTCCCCCTGGACTACTTCGTCTACACGGCCAGGCCCGGCGAGGGGTTGCGGCCGTCGCTCACGCGGCTGCCCCCTTGCTTCATCGGCGGATTCTCCTCCCCGAGGTCGACCGCCACTTCAAGCCGCACCGGTGCCAGCAGCAGCGGGTCATGGTAGAGCAGAACGTCGGCTTCTTCTGCCACTCCGATGACGCCGGCGATTTCACGGTGGCGGACATCAACATCCATAAGGGTAAGGCCGTCGAGCTCTGCGTCCTCAACCACTATGCTGATTGCCCCCAACAACCCCAATGGAAGGTCCAGATCCTGGAGATGCAGCAGCAACCCAACCAAAACCACCACCTCAGAGGTTGGTGGACCGACGCCGTTCTTCCCCTGCACGACAGCTACCTCGCCTGCGTCGACTGCTACCATGGCATCATCCTCATCGACGTCAAGACCCAGCGTTACTTCAACTACATACCGCTGCCGGCAGAGGCGATGCGTGGCCGCCGCGTTGACAAGTACAACCCTGATCCAGCTCGTTCTGTCTCCATCAACATCGCTGGCGATATCACGCTTGTCTGCATAGATGACAATGCCGCAGCAGGAGGCCGCAACAACAGCTCTGCTGGCTCTGCTTTCATCAAGTCATGGTGTCTGGTCGACATCCACGAAAGTAGATGGATTCGTTATTTCACCATGGAAGCCGGCAAGTTCTGGGATATTTGCTCTGCCGCAAACCAGCCCCTCCTTCCACATGCGCCGCCTACTTTCCCCCTGGTGAGCATGGCTAATCCATTTGCCATCTCCTTCCTCCTCTACGACAAGGCCAACAACTTCCTCCTCGAGGACAAGGGCAATGGCCTTTACTGGATGATTGAGGTGGACATGAGAAACCAAGCCCTGCTGTCACCAGCCACCCTCTACATCAGTGAAGAAGAAGAAGCGGAATTCCTGCTGCCACCAGCCACCTTCTTCATCAATGGAAAAGAAGAAGATGATGAGAGATACCTGCCCATGAAATATTTTTATGGCCATAACTTCGTCCCCAGCTGGTTCCCCTCTTATTTGAAAGGTGGCGACACCACAAGGTTTGCTATGTTTTCTTTTATTTGTGATACAAAAACATTTACCATTTGTGTGATGTGTTCAAATATGAAAATAATACCAGTTGGAATATCCATTCAATTGCTTTAGCCACTGTTTAGGAATTAACAAGCAGATAACTGGATAGTTAAATGGCTAAGCAGTTAGCATATTGGAATAGAGCATATCTTTATTAGCTAAATGACTTTGACGATTGGTTTGCTATGTTGTAACATGAGCATATTTGATCGAATGCCCTGCCAATCCTGCGAATAGTGATTCAAGCAATAACTTGTAATTATTCTTCTGTACTCCTCTTCTATACTTGGACATTGCCTCTTAATTAAATTTCATTACATTCATTTTTCTTTTCGCACAGTTAAACTAGTAGAGCCTTTCATTTGGTGAAAGTTTTACTGATTTGCCAGCACATAACCTTAAGTAATTTGGTTAGCTAAGTTCTTGGTCTCATCAATTACCAACTGTAAACATCATAGCTTGATTTGAAGGAACATCGGGATTGCAGGATCAAAAACTACAGCATCAACAGTTACTGTTTCTCTGCTGGAAAGCAAATATAATATTAGGCATTAAGACAGCCGACAGAACAGTTCCCTGTTTCTTAACTAGTGTGTCGCATTTGCTTATTTTCTCACCATCTGTATCTAGTTTGCATTGATCGCCTTGTGACTTCTTTTCCATTTTTTGGTGCAGTCGGATGCGGAGTTTAATGATGCAGCAGGCAAAACAAGAAAGTGCAATCGAAAAGATTGGACGGTAAGCACAATGAACAAGCTGTGTCCATTTTTTTTTATCTAGCCTGGAATTAGTTGCATTGCTTGTGACTTTGCTCCTCAATTTTCGGTTGTATTTGGCAATGCAGTGAAATGATGCAGAAGGAAAAACAAGAGAGAGCAATGCAAAAGAATGGATTGGAGATGGGATCGAATAGGTTGCTTTTTGCATTTCCTTCTTCCCATTCTCTTGAGAGTTGCTTGCCTTGATCCTCCAGTTGACTTTGCTTCTTTTTTTATTTTTATGCAGTTGGGAACTAAGCAAAATGAAGGGAAAACAACAGATGGCAACGGAAAGTAGAGGAATGGAGGCTCACTTGAGCAGGCCGCTTGCTGGATTGAAGATTGCTTAATGTCATCATGCTTAAAGGGATTGGAGGGACAATCGAAGGATTCTTCTGCTGTATTTATGTCCACCATGTTAAGTATGTGCATCCATCCTTGGGCATCTACTACTTAACTATATCTAACTAATTATGGGTATGTGCTATGCTGAGACAATCCTTAGGCATCTACTACTTAACTATATCTAAGTATCTAAGTAGTTATGGGTATGTGCTATGCTGAGACAATTTACTACTCCTTTTTCTATATGTCTTGTTTATAAGCTTAATTTCGAGTACTTGCAATCTAGATGTGCTCCGATAATATCCACAGTTTGTCTTATTTATAAGCTTAATTTCTAGTACTTGCAATCTAGATGTGCTCCGATAATATCCACAGTTTGTCTTATTTATAAGCTTAATTTCTAGTACTTGCAATCTAGATGTGCTCCGAGAATATCCACAGTTTGTCTTGTTTATAAGCATCTTACGCGCGTTTAGTTCCCAAAACAAATTTTCACGCGGTCGCATTGAATGTTTAGACATATGTATGGAGTATTTAATGTAGGAAAAAAAAACCAATTACACAAATTACGTGTAAATTGCGAGATGAATCTTTTAAGCCTAATTGTCTATGATTTGACAATATGGTGCTACAGTAAACATTTGCTAATGACGGATTAATTAGGTTTAATAAATTTGTCTTGTAGTTTCCTGGTGAAATATGTAATTTATTTTGTTATTAGACTACGTTTAATACTTCAAATGTGTGTTCGAATATCCGATGTGACAACCCAATTCAAAATTTTTTGCCAACTAAACAAGGCCTTAATTTCTATTACTCGCAAGCTGTGGTTGCACTTTCAATGTCCAATGAAAGAATCTTTGTATACTCCATCTCAAAATATAGGACGCAGTTTTATAATACAAAGGCTTTATTCATGCATGTAATGAACTAGCAGCAATTTCCTTTCTTTTTTTTTAATTCATTATCCTCGAGATCTCTAATCCTATACAATGCATGCATTGTATTTATTGGGATAATCTAAATAAGGTGATACTTGCTCTGTTTCATATTATAAGATTTTCTAGCATTCACTATATTCTTATATATGTTAATGAATCTAGACATATATATATTTTGAATATGGACAATAGTAGAAAGTCTTATAATATGAAACGGAGGGAGTAGTTTTTTTTTCTTTGTATTAGTGGTAGTTATGTTATATTTTAGGATGGAGGAAGTTATAAGGTAATTAAGCAGAACACATGGCTTTCTCCATGATCCCCCGGATCCAAAGCATTCGTTGTTTCTTCAGTCGTAACGCAACGCAGATACGATGCAATGGTTTTTACTGACACAATTCGCAAGTGCCTCGTGAGCTTGTATCTAAACGTGCATATGTAACCCCATCTGATAAGAGCAAGGTCACTACTGATTCCAAAACATCTATAGCCAATCTAATAATAGCCTATTTATACAATAGTTAACTATAAAAATATACTACACCATTAATACCCGGTCCCACCTCTCATACACACATAACATTTTGGAGTCCGTGTTACAGCCGGCTACAAATCTGTAGCCCGCTTTCTTCTCTCTCTTCTATTTTTTTTCTCGATATATGGTTATAGCCTGCTATTGTACCTGCTCTAAGACGTTTTGAATTGAAAAAGTCCACTTTTACTCCCTTAAATATCGGCCGAATCTAATTCGTACCCCTTAACAAAAAACCGGATAAGATGGCTTCTCGAACTATTGAAACCGGTGCAATTTGACTGAGTGGTTTTGCAAGCGGTTTTGACTGATGTGGCGTCTACGTGGTGGTGTTGACCCGGTCTTCGTCCCACGTGTCGCTTATGTGTAATTAGAGTAAAAACAAAAAAAAAATTTGTAGGACCAACATGTCATCCACACAAAAAAAAGTGGGACCTACCGACATGTGGGTCCCACGTGTCATCCTCCCTCTTCTTTCCTTTCTTCCTCCTCCCTTCCTCTCTCCTTTATCTCTTTCTCTCCCCCGGCCTTTTTTTTCACCTTGCCCGGAGCGGTGGTGGCGAGCGCTGGCGGCGGTCGGGAGCGGTGGTGGGGACGGCGGTAGGGAGCGGCAGCGGCTTGGCTACTCTACCGTCGCCGTCTCGGCTCCGTCGAGTTCTTCCCGTGGGACATCGATGCCATGGAGCAGCTGGAGATATTCCAAGAACTCGTCGTCCAAGAAGCCGACCAAATCGCCAGGGGCACTCGACGGGCTTTCGGCCGACACGCGCCCCCCGGTACTCGCCGAGCTGCTTCTGTCGTTGGTGCTGGGTAAGACGTGCCACAAGGCGTTGGCGGAAGCACCGACCGTGAGCTTGTTGACGGCGAGGCACGTGTCATGGGTGGAGGCGTTCCAGACCCTGAGGCACAGAAGCTCGTCCATCATGCGCGACATGTCGACACGGAGGGCGCTGTCGAGGCGGGTGGCGGCCGCAGACGCCGCGGGGAAAGGCTGGGCCTCCGCTAGGTCGAGGATCTCGTAGCTCTCGCCGTGGAGCCAACGCTCTCGTTGTCGAGCCCAGCAGCCGCAAGCGACGCCCTCACTGTCGGGCCCTCGACGCCGTACCCTTGCCGCCGGACGCCGCCGTCGCCAGCGCTGAGGCGGATGGGGCCGAGAAGAAGAAAGGAGGAGAGGGAGAGGGGGAGAGAGAGGTTATTAGAGGGAGGGGATGACATGTGCGCCAGCTTAACTTTTTTAATATATTTGATGACTAGGCTGCCACATGTACGCCACGTCAGCGAAAACCACCCTTAAAACAGCTGAGGGAGTCGTTTTAGACGGTTTTAATAGTTCAAGGAGTAATCATATCTAGTTTTGTGGTTTAGGGATACGAATCAGATTCGACGTATCTTAACTATTGAAAGGTGAAACTCACAATAAAACGAGGATGAGCCACATCACTCGATAAATATTAGCCGTGGATTCACTACAAGATAAAAGAGGATAAGTGATTTTTGACCGTTGGATTAGATGGATTGTGAAAATAATAATTTTAAGGGGTTCCGAAGATGAAACTCTAGAAGGAAAGAAAGAAAGGAAGGGGGAAAGCTAAAGAATAAACATACGAAGGTATAATGTTATAAATGTAATTTACGATTTGCATCTCTTGTAAAAAAAACTATTTTACTAATAAACCCTTATCGTAACTAAATTCATGGGTCAGCTATTTCGAGTATATAAAAAAAATGTATGTTCATTTGATTAATTTTGTTTCTAACAATTAATTTTAATATATTTGAAAAAAATTACTATAAGGACATGAGCAGTTAGGGTCGTCCGAATATAAGTTTAATGGTTTTCACACGAATATAAATGAAATCAAATTCATTCCTTACAAACCTATAAAATTTTTGTGTATAGGCTATAAAAAGCATGTGCCAATAAAAAGTAAGGGTCATGCAACCACGAAGACCTATAATACAATAACTTATAAAATTTGTAAAAAAAATTAAGCTTTTTAGTGTATTATTATAATATTAGTCAGCCCGACCTATATTTTTTTACGAGTAACAAGAAACTCATAAAAAAGACCACTCCCACATAACACGTAATAGAAAACCTAATTCAGTCGGCTGGTGATTTTGTGGCCAAAATTATGCCGAAAAGTGACAAGATCAAAACCACTATATTCCATTTACTGTGGGTATGGGTATGGTGGAGTGCAAGAAATAAAGCAAACGTCGGGGAGGAGATGCTGTCCCAGGGCGAGATTGAGCATTGTGTTCAGAATACTGCAGCGTATCTGAAAAATCAATCCTGTCTTACAGAATACAGTTCAGTCTGGCCGGTCTGTGAGAAAGGGCAACACATGGAAGGCACCTCCACTAGGTATTCTGAAAATAAACTTTGATGGAGCTTATCGGGAGATGTCCAGGGATGGAGCCTCGTGTTTTGTGATTAGAGGTGAAAATGGACAGGGAGTGTTAGCTGGATCAGGGCGTTTGCCGATGGTTTCAGACGCACTAATGGCAGAGGCAGAGGCTTGTTTAGCTGCACACGAAGCTGCAATAGATCATGGCATTTCCCAGGTGATTATTGAATCGGATTGTCTCAATCTTGTTTCTGCTCTCAAATCTGATGAATTCGACAGAAGTGCTAGAGGTATCGTCTTCAGGGAATTACGTCTTCTTTTGTCTATGTATTTCATAGTAACGGATATCAGGCATGTCCGTCGATCTTGTAATGCCTGTGCAGATGCACTTGCTCAAGTTTGCATATGGACCCGGAACAATCAAATAAAGTGAGCGTATTTCTATATATATATATATATATATAAAAGAAAACCTAGAGTCGCGCGGATGGGTGACATTATTGGCTAATATTGAAGGGAGTCTAATTGGACTTTTTCCTTTTGAATTTTAAAGTCAAAATGAGCATAGGGCCGGCCGGCCCAAAGAATAGAGGAGCACAGAGGCTTTAAAGCAGCGCGTGCGCGCGTGCATCTTCGAGCGAGCGTGGCTGACGTCGTCGGGAACTAAACCGACGTGACATTGGGAAAGAAATTCGGACCGCGGACAAAAAATTGAGGAAAAACAGTTTGAATTTTGGGCCAATTGCATATTTGCCATTGGTTTGAATTGCTATTGTGAATCTGCCATTAAAAAGAATGCAATTGCATGTTTGCCATCAAATACAGTTAGAACCAGACGGTCTGTCGTCGGATTGAATGACTGAACAAACACCGTTAGAAGATTTGGTTTTATGAAAATTAGAAAAAAATAATGCCCGTCACAGCTGCCATGCAATTGCAAGATTAACAACCATCCTCATGCTGTTGATGATGTAATCCATACTGCTGAGCGGATGTCACCATGGTCGGCTGCTGCTACTGCTGCTGCTCAACCGCAACAGACTGCACAACCGACCACCTCAGCACCCGCCTCCGCCGCCGTTATTCTTCCGAAAATTTGACAATTTGGCCTTTTTTGAAAACTATTTGCAAATTTGGTCCCTGGCAAAAACTATCACCAGATCTGGACCCCGACCTCAGCGCCAAGGTCGATGGCGCTGAGGTTGAACACCTCAGCGCCAACCGCATCGGCGCTGAGTACTTGACGGCCGTTTCCTTCGGTTTATGGCCGTCTGCTGACGTTTGGGGGGGGGGGGGGTGAATCTCCGCGGCAAACAATTAGGCGTTGAGGACGGCCAACTCAGCGCCATAAGATTTGGCGCTGAGATTGCCTCCCGAGGGATGAGAGCACGCATCTCAGCGCCAAAGACCTTGGCGCTGAGGTTGTGCACCTTAGCGCCAATTGCTCTGGCGCTGACATGTACAATCTCAGCGCCATTCTATTTGGCGCTGAGGTCAAGCAGTGGCTGGCATAGCACAGCCAGCCACACAGAAATTGACAGCATCACACACATCACAAAATTGATAGCCACATAATATTTAACACATCACAGCAACTGAACATCCATCAACCATCACAGTATTTAGAGTTCATCACATCCATCAATCATCACAAAATATAGAGTTCAACACATCCATCAACCATCATCTAGAGTCCAACACATCCATCAACCATCACATCCATCTAGAGTTTGATATAAAGTCTAACGCTGCCTAGAGTGTTAAGTACAAAGTAATCCACTGGTGCCGACCCCTCCGGCCACTAGTGGAAGGTGTATACCGGTCCACCGGTGCCCTCTTTCTCTGGGGGCGACACTGGGAAGGCTGCGATGGCTGCGGGGCACCTGCAAGCTGAGATGACCCGATTTCTTCGGGTTGTTCCTCTTCCTCTTCGTCACTCTGTCCATCTCCTTCTTCCCCTTCCTCATGTTCTTCCTCCCCTTCATCATGTTCTTCCTCCCCTTCCTCTTCAGCTCTTTGTTGACTTGTTTCTCCGGCCTGTGTCCGCGTTAGTCTTGGTTGTGGGTCGACTGCGTCTGTGGACCTACAACCAAGTCTTGCCGCTAACATCCGACTTCGTTGTTTTAGTCTCTGCAAGAACAAAACAAATTAGTTAGAGGCAAGTGAAATGATTCATGGATTGAACTAATTGGTTAATTACCTGAAGTGCGCTCCGAAGTATCCCAACTTCATTCTCTGACCCAGCAGGTGTGCTAAGGGCAACACCCGCGTCGTTCACGGACCTCATCAACTCACGTGCCTGCAAGTGGACGATCGTCATCTGAGTCTACGGCATACTCAACCTCATATCCCTCCTCCTCATGTGTGTCATCATACTCCTCTGAATGTTCGTGCAGCAAATCAACACTCAATCTATTCATCAACAAAGTCTCCTCACACTCCCTCCGAGTATATATTTTGTCTCGAAAACAGAACCGCACCAAGGATGCTAATTGAGCATCCGTTGTACGCTCTTCTCCACCTCCCCCCATTGATCCATCTGCCACTTCATTATCATCATCAACATGATTTCCAACTATCGGAACTGCTTGACTCCTTGCCTCATTCACCTCTATTGCTTCCTCCTTCTGCAATTCCACATTTACCTCCACCCCTTCTGATTCAAGCCTGCTTGACTTATTAGCCTCAACTGCTTCCTCCTTCTGCAACTCCACATTTATCTCCACCCTTTCAGATTCCTGACTCCTTCCCTCATTCGCATCAACTGCTTCCTTCTTTTGCATGTTAACATCAACCCCCATACCTTGAGATTCTATGACTTCCTCAACTGTCAAAGACTTAACCGACTGACTTTTCATATCTCCTTCATCATCAAATGCTTCATAGTTTGGTTCATCATAAAACAGTGTGCGATTGAGGTCAAAAGAATCATCTCTGCAGTCAGTACGATCAAGCTTCAAAGCAACCACCTCAAGCGACTTGAATTGGGAGCCCAACACTATATCCACATATGTGTTCCACTCCAACTCCCCATTCAAATTTAGCATGTACTTGTGTGAAATGGGTCCTGCTCCAACATCATATCTACCTTGTATAGCTATAGACTGATTGCTCCACCCCAGCACATCCTTTGTACGACAAACTAACTCCTCAAAACTAGGTTTTCCACCAAATATAAGTTGCTTAACACTCATCCCCTCGAAATTGCTACCACTGTTACTTTGCTCTACCACCGAACCACCATAGTGCAATCGTACTAATCTATCCATCTACAACATTAACCGACATATTAGCATATTGCATTTTTTAAAAACTTGAATTTGCAATAAAAAAAATATAACCTACAACTATGTCCCCCAACGAAATTGTCCATAAATATCTAAACATACACAAACTTCCATTTGTAACGATCCATCCTAAATTTGAACTCTCGCATTGTGATGAAAATTAAAAAAAATGAAGTGTTCTTCACTAATTTAGGGGAAAAATTAGGGTTCTTCCCTAAGTGCCAAAAATCTCCACTAAAAATTAGGGTTCTATGAGCATCTAACCATTGCATCACCAACAACAACCACAACCACAGAGTAGAGAACCAACTAATTAGGGAAAATAACCCCAAATCACTATTCTAGGGTTCATCCATCAATGAGCAAATCCAAGCAAAAAAATGCGAAATGACGAGAGGATTCGGAGGAGAATACCTTGCCACTATGTCCTCCAACAATTTCCCCTCCAAAATGCGACGATTTAGTGGGGATTTTTTTGATTTTTTTGGAGGGGAGGAGAGAGATAGTTCGGCACCGCCACGCCTCAGCTGACAGCCACTGAGGAAGAAAGAAGGCCCGGGCTGTTGGGCGCGGCTCGACCAAGGGTTGTAGGACCTCAGCGCCAGACCCGATGGCGCTGAGGTCCCGAAGTTCAGCGCCAAGTCGGTCGGCGCTGACATTGCGCTGTTCGCCTTAGGGCCGTCAAGTACTCAGCGCCGATGCGGTTGGCGCTGAGGTGTTCAACCTCAGCGCCATCGACCTTGGCGCTGAGGTCAGGGTCCAGATGTGGTGATAGTTTTTGCCAGGGACCAAATTTGCAAATAGTTTTCAAAAAGGGCCAAATTGTCAAATTTTCGGGTTATTCTTGGCTGTAGCTATTAGAATATGTGTCAAATATACTTAGTACTATTTGGTTACAGTTAGACTTGGAGTTGTAATAGGTGTTAGGACTAGAGTAAGAGTCGGACTCTATCCTAGAATCACTCATAAATAAAGAAGGGGGCACCACAATGTAACCATAGTGACTACAATGTAGCGTAGACACGCAGAGAGATGATGGCGGTGTGGCCATGAACTCGTAGCGGCTAGGAGCTATATTGGTTGGGGATGAGCGCCCATAATCAGAGCCCTGGGGATATAGACTTCAGCTGAATCTCGTTAACAAATATCGTGTGTTCATGTGTCTTCATTTGGCATGTCTTGAATGATCAATGATTGAATCGATATAGAAGGTTAGTCGTCGTTCCGCTATATCGACTAACTTTTATAATAGTAGTTAGTAGTGTAGCTGCCTCCAGAATCGATCGCCTCAGCGCCCGCCTCCGTCCAAACTGCAGCCGCCTGCTGCTGCCACCTAAGCCGCTGACCCGAATTTGGGATCTAGGTTTTCTAAAGGAAGAGAGGAGGAGGGGGAGGGGGAAGGGAACAAATGAGTGCTATCAGGGTCTGAAGAGAGGCAGGAAGAGAATCGATCCTACGCCAAGGACAAACCAGTCTTATGCCCTTGATTTTTCACTTTGGTTTTATGAATTGCTTTTTAGACTCTTAATTGCACACATCAAACAACAATGCTAAACAAAAGCTATTCTAGGGGTAAATTTGCAGTTTCAGTTTTTTTAATGGTTATTCGAGTTAGGGGTAAAAGTAGTGGTATATTTGTAATTCGCCCTTGAATTTATTATAATACTGGAAAAAAATGCCCGTGCATTGAAAACGGGTGAAGACTATCTTAATTTTATTATTGTTATACGGTTTAGCTAAAGTGAAATTTACTGGATATTGTTTTACACATTAGCATGTGAGTTTTTTTTAAAGAGATTTCTTATACAACCCCTGTATTTTTAAAAGCAAACGAATTAAAAAACGACTCAACTACGAATATTAATTCGAAAAGCGAATAAACGTAAAAACTGTCTCAAACGCGGATGATGTACCAAAGCAATGGGAAAAAACACTTTCAATTTTTATAATAGTAGAGAAGAGAAGAGATAAATACTTCCTCCGTTTAGGTTATAAGACGTTTGACTTTGGTTAAAGTCAAGCTGCTTCAAGTTTGACTAAATTTGTAGAAAAAAATAACAACATTTTCAACCCAAGACAAATTTATCATGAAAATATATTCAATTATTGATTTTATGAAACTAATTTGGTATTATAAATATTACTATATTCGTCTATAAATTTAGTCAAATTTAAAGCAATTTGATTTTGACAAAAATCAAAATGTCTTACAATATAAAAGTAGTAGACATTGGGTTCGAGTGCAGGTCTAAGATATCATTTGTCATGCGTGTTCCATTTCTTTTGTTTGCAAAAGAATAAGTACAATTTTGGTCCCTTAACTTTACACTGAATCCGATTTTCATCCTTAAACCCAAAAACCAAATACAATTGGACCATAAAACTATCAAAACCGATGTAAACGAGGTCTCTCAGTGGTTTTAGCAGACGTGACGCCTACGTGATTAGTTTGACTAGATCTTTGTCTCACTGTTATATTGACGTGTCAATTTAATCCTGAAAAAATAATAAAAACTACATACCCACATGTTAGTTACACATAAAATAATTAAAATAGTGAGACCCAGGTGAACTCCACGTGTCATCGTCACTCCTCCTTTCTTTCATCTCCCCTCTCACTTTTCTTCCCTCTCCCCTCTCTTCGTCGTCTCTTCCCGGACGGCGGACGGGCAGGTGGGCGGCGAGGAGAACGGCGGAGCAAGCGAGCGAGACGGCGAGGGTCGTTGTCGTCCGCGGCCTCCGTGGTGGTGGCCGTGGCTGCTCAGCGGCTGGCCCAGCAGAAGCAGGAGGAGTCGGAGAGCCCGACCGCGGGCTCGACGACGAGGACGACGACTCCGGCGCCATCGCCGCCGCGCGCGCCAAGAAGGCGTCGTACGCTTGGATAGTTGGATTTTGCTGCCAGGGGAACTGCAAAGCCATACACCAGCTGCTGCATTTTGCTGTATCAGACGTCAGTGATGATGTTCGGAGGACTGCAGTTATGGCTCTTGGATTTGTTCTGTACAATGAACCTGAGCAGGTATGTGCACTATCAAATGGTGTGCTTTTTATGCCTTTATTTAATTTGATGGTTCCACTTTTATGCCTTCATTAAATTTGATTTCTGCTATGAACATGCTTTTGCTTACTACGTGTTTGATCAAGCAGCATCTCTTCATAATATTTCCAGCTAATTGGTAGAATAAGTAAGCACCGATAGCTTTGATCCACAACTCACTTCCCTGTTGTGATTGTGCAGACTCCAAGAATTGTATCCCTGCTCTCTGAATCAAACAACCCACATGGTGCTGCTTTGGAAGTGGATTAATTTCCTTGTTGGAGCCTCTCACATCAGATGTTGTTCGCCAGGGAGCTCTCATTTCTATGACGATGGTCATGATTCAGACTAATGATCCTTTGATTCTCGTGTTGGAACATTCAGGCGTCAATTGGAAAAGATCATTCTGGACAAACATGAGGTCATGAGGGCACCATGAGCAAAATGGTATTCTAGATGCTGGTGGCAGGAATGTCACAATCAAACTTGTCTCAAGGAACAAGCACGACAAGCTCACTGCTGTGGTTGGCCTTGTTGTTTTCAGTCAGTTCTGGTACCGGCCTTCTCGATCGGCGGCTTCTCACTTGTCACCAACAGCGCTTCATTGGACTCAACTCCCATCTTAAACCCTCCATCCCCCGAAATATTCCAATAAGGCTACAACTTGAGCTGTCAAACTGCCGACAACCATTTTGTCAACGTACGCCAAGGCGAAATCTAGGGCAAAGAAGGATGCAGAAAACAAAACTAACCAGGAGAAAACAACGGAAGATGCTTCTGGCTCTAGTTCAAGCAAGGCCGGCGAAACTCAGGAGGAGAGCACTCTTATTCAAAAAAGAATCCAAGAGCACAAAAAGCAGCTCTGCTCTGAGTGCAAGTACCTCAGTTGGTTGCATGTCCTGGAGGAGGATGAATCCAGACGGAGCAGGTTTCACCGGGACATATCGATCCGATGAACTTCTCTTGGGTAGGGATGACACGAGCTGGATTCAGGAGCCTTCTTCTCTGCCGCGTTATCAACCTGGGAACAAATGAAGTTGGTTATGTGCTCAACAGCAGAAAGAACAAAAAATCCTGCAAAGAAAGCTAGTGTACTGAGGAATTAAATTTGAAAAATATAATGTTGATTAGTTTTTTTCTCAGAAATATTCGAGCTGTAAATTTTTTGGCAGAAATATACTATCAGTCTCGCACAACTGTTCAACAGAATGACGTGGATATGATGATATGGGCGTTCTCGCACGAGAAAAGCGCGAGACAGTGCGGTGTCGCACAATGACACCACGAGACCACGCGGCCTCGCGCATCAGAAAAGCGAGACCGAACATCACAAGCGCGAGAGAGCGAACGGCTTGCTTAGAAAGCAGCCGCATTATTAGTGACTAATTACCCTATTAGTGATTAATTAAGAATAGTTTGTAATTAATGAGGTTGATTAGCGATTAATTAATCGATAATTGAGCCACTTGAACCGCCTCAGCCATTCGGTCTCGCTCCTTCTCTGTGCGAGACTGTTCGGTCCCACTATTTCCTCGTGCGAGACCGCGCGGTCTCGCGATGTTATTGCGCGACACCGCGCGGTCTCGCGCTTTTCTCGTGCGAGACCGTCCATATGATCATATCCACGTCATTCTCGTGCAACGGTTGTGCGAGACCGATAGTATATTTGTGCCAAAAAATTTACAGCCTGAATATTTATAAGAAAAAAATAAATTATCAGTATATTTGCAAATTTAATTCGCTTGCACTCACTGATGCACCCTCCTCAACTTTGGCTGCGACCACTGCTGCCACAGGCCAACAGGCTTCATCTGCCATTGGCTGTCGACGACGAGCCGCTAGCTGCCGCACGCTGGTGAACCTCCTCTCCACCTCCTGGCACCGCAGCCGCGTCCGCTTCACCAACACCCGCCTCGCCGCTGCCACCTCCCCTTCCCGGCTTCCCCCTCCTCCTCACGGTCACACGCGCCATCCGCCTCACCGTCCATCCTGTTAGAAAATGATAGGCAAACAAACGATAAAAAACAATAGATTAATCATAGAAGATATGAGATTTAACGTGGAAAACCCTCCTAAAACAGGAGAGAAAAAACCACGGACGCTAGCCAGCAAAATATCTTCACTATATCTGGGGTGAGGTTACAACGCCGCACGATGGCTTACAAGAGGTTTATATATGGTGGAACCCTAAAAGGTATTAGGATCCATACCCATACCGCGGGGGCTCTGGCCTAAGCCTACCGGCGACGGGCCTCCGCTCCACTACGGTAGAAGCTGGCCTTTATTAAGTGTAAATGAATTTGGATCACAACTCTAACACATCCGAGCAATCCAACCTCAGCAGCTCAAGCAGGCAGAGAGGGTGGATGAGGCGGTCCGGCCTCAGCGCCACCCGTTGCCTTCTCCT